GCGAGCTTCATCAAAGGCCGCAGGGTCCAACTTACGCACGAAGGAAAGAGCACCCCAGCCGGATCCCAAGACCACGACCTTCCTCAGAGCGGAGGATTCAGAACGGCCTGATGCTCATGGAGAACGAACACGACCTGGGTGCTGTGGACAAAAGCATATGGCCATGGGTCAAAAGACCGGTAAACCCCCAGTGAACATCAACCAATCCACACAAAAATCGACTAACATGGGTGGTGCACCTACCCTAAAATGGTACTGTTGGTTTTGACCCACAGCCATATGTGATAGGCATTGCCAACAGTCGGAGGAAACTGGGCAATTCCAGATTCACGGTGGGGAGGGGGGGGGGAACAGTTAGGAGGAGTTGGAGCTTCTTTCTTGTGCTTCCCTTTTTGCCGGTGCTTGACACGAGCACAACAAAAACCATTCTGAGCAACACTTGAACACAGGCATTTTGACCTGGCCGGGCTTGAAGAGTACTCTGTCGCCATTGTCAAGACTCTTTTTCACCGGGTCCTTCTTTGCAAAGTGGTACAGAATGCGGTCGACCTCGTACCTTTGACACAGTACGAGTGTCCCAATACAACTAACAAGGCCTCAACAGCATCAGCAAATCCAACAAAATGCCTAAGGTAAGTGGCGGCCAATTGTCAAGTCCGGAGCACTTCATATCGTCAAGGTCATCGTTGATCCACATGTGGCCCACTTTCACCTGATCAAAAACAACGTTGCAGGCTGCAGGCTCGCAACAAGCATGAGGAACTTGAAACAAATCAACGACACCACTCGCTGAGAAGCAGGCACCAGCATAGGCAGTGGCTCCCAAAGCGCCCAAGCGGACCGTCCTGCACGTACGGTTGGCGGCAAAAGGCGTCATGCAGACATGGCGTCATGATGTTGCCGCGGCCTTTCTCAGCAAACCAACGATCATTCCAAGTATCTGTGCGCCTTTGGAATGGATGAGGTGCGATACCTTCGCCCAGATGGACATTAGATGCCGTTTAGCCTTTCAATGTATTGTTTTCTGGATTTCGTGATTATCTTGTGTTTCGAGATTCCTTGATTGCAGGCGAGATCCAAGTTTGACGTTGCTGGAAAGTTGACAAATATCCTTGAAAGGCCGACTCCTTATCTTTAAGGCCGTACGTATATTTCAAATGCAGTACCTACACGGTGCACTGCGAACAGATTCTCATCGGTACAGGGCACAACAACAAAAAACATATCCATCCATGTTCATTATGAAGAGCTCATCAGGTCACCAGATTCCCATCTTTGGACTGCGCATGTCGTGCGGGATTGCCTGCGAGCGAGGCGTCGAAACATGGCTGGCGGGCTTCGACGGTTTAAGATTGAGCCGGGCTGCGGATGTGGGGGCGGTCAGGAGCAAAAAAGGTCACAACCATCCGACCAGTCCCGTCGACCGGGCCACAGCCGACTTGTTCCGACAAAGACATGAAGGCTTGTCAAAAGTAGCGGCACTTTTCGGCATCCCCTTTAAACAGCTTGTCACAAGGCGGGCACCAGGTCCCAAAAGGATATACGTTTTGGGCAACACCCCACATCGAACATGGTAGGCATCGATCTCATTGACTCTGTCGCTTTGAGGTCGCCACGCCACTGCACAATGCGATTGCTGCCAGCAAGAAGCTTCCATTCAAAACCTGCGCGCGATGGGCACCATGAATTTGACCACATGATGGGGTTTGCAGTCAGGACACCATGCAAAGCCAAAAGATGACCGTCTCCTCAGGGGCTGGCTGATCTCTTTCCACTGTCAGTAAATGCGAAACATGATTGAGCATCGGTCCTCGGACATGTCTAACGAATTAAATGGCTCCAGCGCTGGAAACTCTGTAATTGTTGAATCAATCCCAAACTCTGGAATTGTTGCAATCAATCCTTTGCTTGTCGATGCAGCTTGCCTTGCTACATTGTTCAACGAGGAACAAACGCTGAATGCGTGTCAAGCTCTTTGCTGTAGTAAAGCCGTAAAACTCATACACAAAAGCTGCGAGCAATACGCATGGCCAAAAAGTCAAACACTTGGCGCGTCTTTTTGGTGCGCTCACTGCATGCTTTGCGCATGCTGGGGTCGCACAGGAGGCTGCTCTCACAGTCTTGCTGCCACCTGGCGTTTGAACCGGCGATTTGAACCGGGGCCCAATTGAAAGTGGCACAAAACTACACCAGGGTTCCGAAAGAAGAAAAAAAAACAAGGTTTCTCTGACACCCACCCCAACGCCCCAATTCAGTGCGGTTTGATCGGAAAGCCCCGCCTCGGCCACGGTCTGCAAGTAGGCCTGGGACCAGTTCTCCAGGGTCTCCCGGTACCTGGGACTGGAACCATGCGATGGATTTGCATCATACTTGGAATGTGCGGCTGAACTGATTTCGCAAACATCAAAATGGTTTTGCCTGAAAGCTATGCAAGGGAGCTGATTCTAAGTGAACAACCAAGACACCGAACAAACACAAGTTCTTGTGTGAGTTGAAATGGTGGCAATCGCCAATCTTCATGGCAACATGCATGTAATTCATGATCGCTGATACAGCCTTTATGTTCAAATTGCATGTGACTTTGATTGCGATGCCACGCACTGCCATTTTGCGATCGGGTCACTTGTCCTCAGTGTCAGGATTGAACCTGTGCCATGCAAAGTCTGCATAGTGAGTGAACAGCCTGACAATACAAACGACATGGGAAACAACAAAACTGCTTGACTAGCACTATTGTCAAACACAATCAACGGTCAGCCTAGGACAATGCCTTCGGCAAAACACCCCGTGATTGGTGTGCTTTGCATCCAAGGAACGCCGCGAAGCACGCGAAACCTGGCAACATGCATTCGAAAAATCTCACCAACACATCAAGTTACAGCAGCAGCAGCAATCATGGGGAAACAAGTTTCCACTTGGGCAATTTGAATTTGTTCGCATCCTCATACATCAGCTTGCAGAACCCTCCATGTTCCGAACATGTGACCTGTATGATCTTAAAGACTGTTCCAACTTGGACGTCGGCCCACTTGCTGGCTGACAGATTCACGCTTACATTCGCACATTCTACAGACGGAACAGTGGCAAAACTAAGCTGGTGCCATGAACTGATCGCCCCCGATATTTACTGTTGAGCCATGGCTTGCTTCAGTTGACCATGAAATCATTACAACGCGTGTATCTACCCGAGGTATGGTGTCCACTTACACAAGCCATGCTCTCCAAGGCTCTCTAACATCCAAAGAAACAACCTGACTTAGCGAGGGCAAAGATGTGGTTGATGATCGTTCCCAAACAAACCCGCCAATGTAAAAATCACAATCCCGATCAAGTTTGCCAAACAACGCAATTGTGGTTTAGGTCTCTTCCAATGACAACGGCTATGCGAACTTGATTCTGGACAAAACTACTGTGGATGGACCAACTCCTGCACCACCTAAGAAACCCTGGACGGTACCAACAAACAATGGTTTCCCATGGTTTCAAAGTGGTGCAGGATTCGTCCATCCCTGGAATGTCCAAAGACTTCATGGAAAAAACGTGGTTGCCATGCCAACACAAGCAGAATGCGCCGGTAAAAAGCCACTGACAGTAGAGGGCCCCCTGCTAGTCCAAGTTGCGCCACAGGAAACTTGTGTCACGGCATGCGCCTGTTTGTGAAAAACTGTCCAGGAGGGGTGGCCACCAGAATAAGGAACATGAGATTTCCACATGCAAAATCCTAAATGAATAAAACAGCCACATTGATAGGTGCCGTTTGGGAAGGGCTGAAAAAGCTATCTGCCACAGCAGTACTGCTAATGATTCATGCGCCCCATGCTTCCGAAACGACACAGCGCCTGCCTGAAAGCTCTTCATTCGCGTCAGCGTTCCGTTGCGAATCAACCTGTTCGTGAAGGCTTGTGGTGCAGGCAATTCTAACCAAACCATTGAGTGCCAAAACTACAATGAAAGGCCTGAGATTGTAGAATTGAACAGAAAACACGTGGAAGGACCAACTATGGGCGCATCCATTTGCAGTTACTGACGTGTTTCACTTGGGAAGGGTTTAACATGTACAATGTGATGTACATGTGGTCATGCAAAGGTCTGTTTGTGCGCCTGGATGAAACTGGATGGATATTTCTTGAAGAGATCCTTGAAGTGGTTGTGCGCCAGATTCTCAGCCTCGGGACATGCAGGAAGCCAGGTGTTGTGCTTTTGAAATTGACACAATCCCCACGATCCTGCCTGGAGAAACGCAGCATCTGGAGCATGCATCTTCTCCTAGTACACAGGTCATTATATATATATATATTATACATGTATATATATATATATATTATATCTTTGTTGCTTTGGATGAGTTGCATTTCACATAGCTCCTGCCACCGGTCTCGAAGCGCCTGTTGGTTCCCCCCATAGTAAATCTCGAATGCAAATGAATACCTGACAGCGGGCAAGGCAACACTAAAACATCTTGCGCAGCTGCCGATCCTTCAAATCAACCAACCTTGCGCACGGGGTCTTCAATTTGTCGAAGACCCAATCCAGGCAAGTGCCCGGACACGAGTATCCAACCTGCAAATGACCAACACACCCTGCGGCAACAGAAACTGGAGCACCTCCCTGCCAGCAGCACCATATGGACACTGGCAATGGTCCTCCACAGACCCGGGTGCATTGGGCGCAAGGGACATGGCGTGCGCATGCGATGTGCTTGAACGTTTGGTCCATTCCTAGCTTGGACCCAAGATCAGCAAACCGCCGGTTGAGTAGTGAGGAACAAATGTATTTTAGGGAGATTATTCACTTTTCGAGAAAAAACGGGAACCCCCCATTTCTATGCCAGGTGTACTTATCCGGGGTCAATATGGATCACAATCTTCTAAAGCAAAGTTCCAACAAATTCGCGTGAAACAACATTCTGATCACCGTGTCATCGTGCCACTGCTTGGTCCTTGTCGACCGATTTCAGAACCCTTAGATTGTGCGCAATTTATTGTTTGCCGGTTGGCTGGCAAAACACGCAACACAAGAACATGTCTTACCTTCCCCTCCCACGAACATCGCACTTGTGGGAGTCAATCTGGAAAGTTGATTTCTACTTGAAGGGATCCCCTGTCAAATGGTATGTCAGTGGGAGGGAGGGCAAATCCAGGCTTCGTGGAGAAACCGATTTCAACATGACAGTTTCTATTTGTCATCAGAGCATCTAAGACGCTGGCTCCATCATGGATTGCTGGTTGCGATCCGCCAGGTGCTCCATGTCAAATGCCCATGGCATGTACATTCCTGCAAACCCCACATACCAAGGTTGCTATGGGTCAAAATTAAACCACCAACAGGTTTTAATCTACATTTCCACTTGGCAGGGTTCCATTCACCTATGTGTTCACCCACATACCAAGGTCACAACAGTAGGACGTATGCCGTGACCCACACAGCCAAATCTGGGCCCTCAGCCCAGCGTGCCGCTGTGGATGGTGAGAAAGGTCCTTATCTGCGCATGTTTCTTCGGAACGGATTTGTCACAGCCGCTGACGTGGGCTGGTAGGCCGACACCAACCTCAGGCCCAATGTTTTTTGATCAAATCCCTCGAGAGCGTGCGTACGAGTCCCCGTCTGTTTGAGAAGTTGCGTCTCAGGCTCGCTGAATGGCCTCCGTTGCATGCAAATGCTTGAAAAAAATCGCAGGAACGTTCGAACGATTTTCTGCGAAAACTGTGTGCGTGGCATGTGCCCTGGGTTCGTGTCCATGCCATAATCGCCATCCTCATGTGAGGTCACTTGATTCCCAGACGCAGTGGACAAGCTGACGGCTCAGCTTCTCACATCCCAATGCTCGTCCCAGTTGCGATTCAAGTCCACACCACCCGGGTTTACTCGCAAGCACCAGTCACCCTGCGCAGAGACTGGCAAACGGCCATCGACAAAGGCTGTGCATGGTATCACCAAATGTGAGTTCACAAGGGCCTCCTCTACTTGCCTTCTAGAGCCAGGATTTGCATTGACGACCATCATGAATTCGTTGTTCTGCCTCACTCGAATGTTGCCCATGTCAAAAACGGGAACCATTCTAAATTCTGGAATGCTCCAATCCGAGGTCCGCACAAAAGCGTTTGAACTTTTTCGCCACCATCACACAGAGTCTGCGCCTGCAGTCCACATTCGTTACACTTCGTTACACATATTGACATCATGTCACATTTCTGACAGAAACAAATAGCGCTGCACAACCTGACCAGAACGTCTGAACCTGGGGATTTGGCAAAATGAAGTCCTGATTCAGCTGAAATGAGTTCTCTGGCATGTTCCTGGCGGGAGTCGGGTATTGCATCCTGGAAGTATCGCCAAAACTACAATTTGCAATGCAAACACAAACGCGCAGTTGGCGTTTGTCATTTTTTAACGCTTGTTGGCACTCACGCAGGCATCATTGGCTTGCTTGTTCAACTTGTCCGTCCATTTGGTTGACCACCTCGTGCAAGAACACATTTTTGGCACGCCCTGCCCCCCCCCCCATTTTAACTAGAAAAACAAAAGAGCTCAGGAATTGCCAGAGCTGCAAAATTGCTTTTAATAGAATGTCACAACGGCCACCATTGTAAATAAACGAAGTTGGCCTGTGACAAGCCAAGGAACAAAAGACATCACATTCAGCCCGGATGCTGATCCATTTCCCCGTGTTTGTGCACAGTTTGGTCCACCTGCCACGCGCTTCAACGGATTGTGACATGCAAGCAATGTGTCAAGCTGTTTCAAGCCTGCACCATTTTGACTCAGTCGCTTTTTACGATCACCTCAGCCAGCATGCAGCTTCATTCACAAGCCAGTAATTTATTGGCTTACAAAGTTTTGCTGCAAAGTCACGTCCTTGTGGTTTTGGTACTGCCTCCCAAAGAACTTCAGCACCTCATCCAAGATGATGACTGGGAACGAGAAAGCCATGACCAAAACCTCAGCGGCTCTGTTGAGCACTCGCTTCAAGAACTGCGTTCTTACAACAGCTCGACTTTGCAACTCTGGCCAGGTTGCCCAGTCATGCCAGTCCAGAGGGCAAACTGCGAAGATCTTGGCCAGGAATGGCGTGTACAAAATCACCTCTGCTTGAGTCGCACTCACTTCAGTATGCATCAATTTCAACTCTAGGTAGTTTGCTTGGCTGCTTCAGATTCAAGGCCCAATTCGCACGTGACATATTTTGCAAATCTTGCTGCTATAATTGCACACATGTTGAGGGCTATCACAGGTGCAAACCTATTTCTCCAAATGAACGAGCTCGTGCATACTCATCTGAGCCGCAAAGTGCACGGCTACAGAACCTCAGTGCCCACAAATTCACACAGACGGGAGCGGAAACACGGGAATCGACAGTCACAAGTAGATGCCTGACTCAAGCCATGCAGCCCATGCAAGCAGCGACCAGCCAGGGGTTGACCCAGGGCGCCATCTGCAGGAGCGAGCCATCCTGGCACACATCCCATGCGTCTTACGCGTCAAGCTGCGATGGCCTCCGAAACTGCGTTGAACGCATTCAGCATCTCGATGACGACCTTAACCGAAGTGAAATTACCCGAGACACGTCGAGCCATTGCAGCCCAGTCACCAGCACTGTCAAAGAAAGCGTTGATGCCTTTACCTTCCCCACGGTGAAGTAGGTGCACGGGTCATTGAACCTGAGGTAAGAGTGAAGCTGGATTGTTCAATACCCTCCGGTACCGAATCCAAAGCCCGTAGTGCAACATCCCTGCAGAAGGGAAATCACTAGCATTGCCACAAGGAGTCAGGATTGACTCACAAACACAATACAAGCAACACGGAAACAATATGATAGGAGCACACATTACACATCATTACACCCATAACTGCTTTTGTTGATTTTGCAAAGCTTGGCTTGCTTGACTTCCTCTGCACTCGGTCTCGTTCTCCACTGATTTGGTTTGCCCGCACTTGTCTCTCTCTTGTCTCCAAACGCTCCCAGAAGTGCTTGCGTGTGCGTTTCCCCCAACAAATCCTGGTGTGTGGGCCAAAGAATGCCACGCTCACAAAATTGCTGTGGCACGCTCACACTGGCTGGGTGAGTTCATGCAATGCTGATGGACAATGATGCATCCCTTGCCGGCGGTGTTGCTTCAGCTCTCGTCAGCCGGCGCTAACGGCTGTGCCAGTGACTCATGCTTGGCTTTTTGCGCACGCCTCAAAACCGGCAGCGCGCTTCCTGTCCCGACAAGCCGCCGCATGTCCAGAAACGGCCCCGGAGCAAAGTCGTGCCACTTCTTGCAGGATCCCCAGCTCATGAGCTGCAGCGGGCTCACCAGGCTGTGGCCTCACCGCCATGGGCCCATGGCCACATGCTCAGCTTTCGGAGGTCTCAGCCAAGGGGCCATCAGAGCTGCCCTCATCGTAGCAGTACCAATAAATGAAGATGCCCACCGTGGCTAAACCCACCTTGGGCTTTTTTGAAACAATTGAAAGCCAGTCGCTGCAGCATGCTAAGCATGCAGTAGGGCTGCATACAGGCCGATCACCATGTATCGGAAGAACACCTCGTAGCACTGGTTGCTATTGAGGCAAGGGGTGCAACAGGTCTGTGCCAAGCCGCCCAGCCAGAGATGAGGTTGTCATCTGCACGCCTGCGCGCGGCCAAAACTTGCGAAGCGGCTGCAGCCAGGTGGCCCTTGCTGCGCCTGGGAGATTTGCACATGACGTCCAGGTCTGGCGGGTTGAAGCCCAGCGCGGTGGCCGGCAGCCCATCGGTGACGAGGTTCACCCACAGCAGCTGCACCGGGGCCAGGCCCTCGGGGATGCCAAGCGCTGCTGTGAAGAAGATGGAGGCCACCTCACCTGCCGGTCAGTCGGGAGGCTCGCTCCCCCGGAGCCAAGCCCGAAAAATGGATGAAGCAAGCCAAGGCCCTCGCCGATGTTTGAGGAAATAAGGTAACGAATGAACGCCTTGGCACATGTCTGCCAGATTCCATGTTCGAGGAGCTTGGCATGCAGGCATGCAGGTGGCTCCTTCATGTTGTTGTAGATTGATCTGCCTTCCTCCACGGCCGACACGATGGTGGCAAAGTTGTCATCTGCAAGCACCTGCAAGACAAGAGGAGCTTGTGCTCAGGTTCGGATCCAAGCGCAGCTGAGGGCAGATCCATGTCTGAAGCTTCCTTGGCCACCTGAGATCGATCTGTGGGCCGTGCAGCTCTGCTTCCCAGCACGCCTCTGTGCCGCTCAGGCCCATCCTCAGTGTGCGAAGCCTTTCCGTGGACCACAAAAAGAGCCGCTCCCCAAAGGTTCCAAGACGCCGCTCACCGTTCGTTCTCTTTTGGCGAAGCGGCGCTATGCCGATGTCTGCTTGCTTCAGGGCGGGGGCATCGTTGACGCCGTCCCCCGTCATGGCGGTGATTTCCCCGATCTGCTTCAGTATCCTCAGGCGAGAGGGCACCACGCGTGCAAGACGCTTGCAACAGTTCGATCTTCAGCTTCCCGGCCAAGGTGCTTCACAATCCTCAGAATTCACACATCCCACACTGAAATCCAAAGAGAGCCTCGTCGCAGCCTAGTCGCAGCTGCTTGTGCTTGGGCTCGGTGCGCGAGAACACCGCGCCCTCAATATCCCGCTCTGCAGTGATGCGCTGGAGGACCTGCGCGCACGGCATCGCACCGCGCAAGCCGTAAGAATCTGAGAAGCCGCACCTTCACCTTCTCCGGATCCGAGAGGCTCTCGAAGTCCTTGCCTGCCGCGAGAGACGGAAGGGTGGGGCTATGAGGGAAACATGCCCGAGGTGCCAGTGAAAGACTTCTGAGCCTGAGCGTTCAAGCGCTCAAACGCCTAGGGCCTATGGTGTTGTCCAACTCTGACGTGCTCTGAGAAATTAAACAATGATACTCTCTCCCTGGCAAGTACCTCACTCAGCCTTGTCAAAACAAGCCGGCCCAAAGAGTCCGGCGAGGTTGCCGGTGCTGGTGAGAATGCCCAACTTGCGGGCGATGGCTTCCTCCAAGCAAGATTTGTGCCCAGCAGTTCTGTGCGATCGGTTGCAGGCAAGGCTCCGCAGTGACCTTGTTATCCCCGGTGATCATCACGACCTCGCGAGGCGGCCCAGCAAGCCGCGGCCGCCCTCCGCCATTCGACGCGCTCTTAGGCCGAGGTGCGCTGATGCCCGCGACACGGCACTCTTGGATGGCTCGGAGGCCTGGGGGCTACTCCTCACTTGATGTGGTCGGAGACTTTGGCCGAGTTGCACTCAGGTCGAGGGGGGTCAATGATGCCCACCAGCGCCACAAAGGTAAGATCCGTCTCGACCTCCCATTTAAGCCAATACGCCAGGGGCAAAAAAAGAGCAGCAAGTCTTGCCGGTCCATCTTAGGCGCTTTCTCATGTTGTGCAACGGCTGAGAAGTCTTAAATAATCCGGCTGCGACTCTAACACATCGCAGCTGTAGGTATCTATGATGGTGTTGGAGCATTGTCAGAGTCCCAGCAGTTGCCGGATGGAATTCAAACTGGGCGGGCAACCCATGCCGTTGAAAAGGCACGAAGGAACCGCATGTGCAACACGGAGGCTGATCAACACTCCTGGCCCCAAATGACCATGTCCCCATTTAGTGGGAACTGTTCTTCTTTTCTGTGGCTTTCCTCAATGGTCATCCCATGCTTAAATGATTTTTTGATCAACCCCCACGATTCAGGATCCATCTGCGCGACTGGGCCTTTGCCCAACAGCGTAAGACCCATTTGCCACGATCCTGGGCTCCAGCCGGCCGAGTCAAAGTCCTTTTGCATAGCCCATTCGCTTCAGGCCCTCGAGAGCGAAGTCCAAAGCAGGCGGATTCCTCGGAGAGTCTTGACTCGAGCGAAACCGGAGGGCAAGACTTGTGCCAAGCAAAACCCCCCCCCAAAAAAAATGCTCTTAACTCAAACTGCTGGGCGCTCCGAGGAAAGCATGGTCAGAAATCCTTGGAAATCCGGAGGGCCATACCTGGGGCATTTTCACAGCCTTGCTTTGTGGAACTTCGCTCTAGTTGTCACATCGTCCGAGGCGCTCGATGGTCCCCGGGACTGGTGGCAGTTCGCCGTTCGCCATACCCCGGATATTTTTCCTTAAGACCTGCCGCGGATGCAAGGCAGGCAGCGCTGCGGTTTCCGGTTTGCCTTGTCCATGGCCATGGGTCAGGTCAGGGTTTTTGAAGGCCCGTGAGAAACCCAGTGAGATTCTACAGTAGGCAGCTCAAAGCTACTCAAAGCCATGTGAACCTGAGCTGATTCATCAGCAAATCCTGGCACCATTTTTCCAGGCCCTTAGCCACGTAAGGCATGTGGCTAAGCAAAGCCACGCCTACCCAACACTCTGATGGACATAGCATCGGGTCATGGCAGCACACTATGTCCAATGTTAATGGACATAGTAAAACAAAACACAAAATCGGCAACTTGACACTTCACACCGTGTGAACATGTTGATAACCATTTCGAAAATTACTACATTACTAACCCCTATCTAGACATATATATATATATATATATTTATGTGTGTGTGGATGTTTACATATATATATATATACACATCTATCTATGTATACATATATATATATATATATACATGTAGATATGTAGATATACAGATATACAACATCCATATGTATGTGCATGGCTTTCCCCTGCGTCCGTGCCTTGCCGCTGCGTGTCTTGGGCAGCTGCTTCACCACCGTGGCACCGGCCAGGGAGGCGATGGCGCCGATGTCCTGCCGCACCTTCGCCTTCACCTCCTCCACCTGACGTTTGGCTGGGGCTCAAAACCGTTGTGGTTGATCCCATTTTGGTCGGTAGGTGCACCCATTTTGGTAGGTGAATTCACCACCCATTTCAGAACCTATAGTGGTTGGATTGGGCCAATGGTGCCATTTTGGTTGGGATTGGTGATGCACCACCCATTTCAGGCTTCCTATTTTAGTGGTTGGATTGAATCGGATGTTCACTGGGGATAAGGGATTTTGACCCATGGCCATTTATCAAAACAGGGATCCTTACATTGTACACCTGAACATTGCAACTTGTGAATGGTGGTGTCCCTTTATTTTGGTGTTGAAAAAGCAACATGTTTCAAATGGTTGCCAAATGTATCATTTAAGGAGCCCTGGAAGACCCGCCCAGAAAGAGTGGATGGTTGCGAAATCCATTTTGCGCCACCGAAATGAGGCCTTGGAATCATTCAATTCCCCTGTAAATACCAACAAACAATGGGTTCTCATGGTTTCAAAGTGGTGCAGGATTTACAGTATGTAAAGACTTAAACAGGCGGATATCCGCAGCTATTTCTGGTTGGGATTGTCCCTAGCCGTCATCTACCCGGTTTTTGATTGTGGCTCAATGTGGCTCAGCTTACGTCAGCGGATGGTTGACATCGAAATCCGCGAGTCTCGAGCCACCGTTGCTGCAGAAACCCGAGGGAATGAGCCGATTCCCCACGTCAATGCCAACAAACGGAATATGGCTTCAACCATGGGTTCAAAGTGGTGCAAAATGGCTTGCGCAAACAGTCATACTACGTCGCCGACATATCGCAACCCAACTCCTACGTTTTTGTTTGTTGCCAGGGCATCTCCTGGCTCGCCCCCACAGCAACGGTGGGTGCCCAACACTGATTTCAGGTCAACCAACCATACTCAACCACAAAACTATGGTAATTTGCAGCAAATCAGCGGGGTTCCCTTACTTAGCCTTACTTGCAATATTTGTACGTGTCCACCGTACCTCCCACAAAGCTACTTGACTGCCTGTGGCCTACCCAACATACTCTTGGACTTGGAAGGTATCCACGTCCCAACCACACTTGTGAAGCTGAAACCATTCAATCCCTTGCAAGGTATCTCCCATGGTAAGGGGATTCATTCAATGGATTTCCACCGGCCCGACAGGACGTTGCTTCTTTGAATTGGAGCTGCTGCTTGGATGGTTTCCCAGGCTCCGCTTTTTAGCACCAAACATGCATGCATTTGCCCCACGAAACTGGTGCGCAAACCTACTCGTCAACATTAACAAGGATGCGAAACGAAATGAGGACCAAGACGACAGGACAGGTCAACCAAACTGGCATCGAAGTGAAGGGTGGACCATCATGCTGACTAGACAAAGATTGGATTTGGTTGCCCAGGACCTTTCAAAGAATATTGTGATTGCAAGCGCCCAAAGTGGGGAGACAAAGCCACATACGGCAAACACCTCAGGGGCAAACACAACTACTCCCTCTTTCTCTGTGTGTCAGAAGGCGTCCACCAAAAAAGAAAGAAAGAGATGAATCGACTGTGAAATGCTGTGAGCACTTGCGTCGGCTTGATGCTCATGCCTGGATCTTCCTAAGTCCGATTTGTTCTGCCTTTTCGTGGGAAACTGTTTTTTCAGGGAAGGTCATCATATGTTTGCCTGGAGGCAATTTTCCTAAGTTTTGTTTTTTGGATGTATGCAACAAACTGGCGGCGTTTTTCCCCGATACAAAGGCGTTTGTTGGCGATACAAAGGCGTTTTTTGATGGAAACGACTAAAATCTATGTAGTTGCAGCAAAAAGCGGAAATTCTCCACTCCGGGTTTCTAGGTGTGGCGTCTGGGGCAGTCGCTGTTTTTAGCTCCAGGCGCCCGGGCAATATCTCGGTGGCAGCCATCGTTCAGCACCAAGAGCGCGAGAGGCACCTGCAGGAATTTTATGGCAGCACTGCCCAAAAAAATGAAGGAGCCATGACATGGGTCAAAATTAAACCACCAAATGGACCGCAGGTTTTGGCAACCATGTTTCCACTTAGGGTTCAATTTGGGGGTTACCCTATTTTTGACAACCGCAGCCACGTTGTGAGCAGGCCTGACCCTTGATCGGATCAGCTGCCCCCACCACAGCGCAATCATTGACATCCTGAAGCACGGGAAAGTTGTCTGGAACGCATGCAAATGACTAGCAAACAGGCCCTGGCTTCACAGAAGCCCTGCTGGAATTAACAAACATATTATGTGTGTGGGTCAAAATTAAACCACCAGGGGACCCCAGGTTTTAGTCCTGGGTTCCATTTGCTAGGTTCCATTTTGGGGTTACCCCACTTTCGACACCCACAGCCATATTCATCGGCGCTTGGCTGAGCCAAGACACGGGGTGGGCCTTGATGCTAGCTTCAATCTGGCCGCAGGAGAGTCTGTGAGCAGCCACGTTGATGATGTCATCACTACCTGCGGCAACTCAGAGATTGAAACCTTCCCCTCCGCTGACTAAACTCGTGGATTGATTTGAAAGTTGGGCTTAGGCACCTGTGCCCCCCCCAAAGGAGAGTGTTGCAGGCACACAAGCTAAGCCGACAGATTGCAAAGTCAGATGCGGCCACCTATCTTTTCGTCCGAGCCGCGCTCCAGCACGGTGACGTAGCCGTGCTGGTCGATCATCCCAGCATCGCCAGTGTGAAAGTATCCCGGGTAATCTGCCATGTAGCTCTTTACAAAGCCTGCGGCACAGTAAACGGACCATTAATGTCAAGGGCAAACTTTCTCGCAAACCCCCCACCTTCTTCATTCTTCCAAAGGGTTGTGAAGCAGCCAGGGGGCAGTGGCAGCTGCACAAGCAGCAGGCCAGCCTCGCGGCTTCAAGCAAACATGCTCACTCACCAGCTTGCCGCTTGCCTTGTTGGGCTTTTCTAGGTGCTTGCCGTGCTCATCGACAACCTTGAGGTATGCTTGGCACATGCAGGGCTGGCTATGACCAAACTCGGAAAACCCCATGAAGAGATTCTGACCATGCAGCGGAAAAAGCGCTTGCCAAGTTGCCGAGACATGGAAGCCGAAGGCCGGAAGGCTACAACTCCCGTCCTTGCGGCCAACAGCCTCGTCCTGCAAGCCGCAGATGGGATGTCCTCGCAACCGAGTGCCACTTGCCGATGGAAACTTTCTGGCGTCTCCTAGTCGCCTTCCACTAGTGAAAGGGACGCGTGAGCCAATCCCTGCCTGTTTCCGTCTGCCACCAATTGTCATAGAGATCCGTGCCCAGGTTAGCGGCAAACTTTTGGCTCCTTGGTCTCCAATGGTTTAGCTCCGGCGGCGACACGTGCCAAGTGCACTCTGACAGCCACACACCACAAGAAGCAGAGCGTCGTTTCAGGATCGCACCGCTCGCCCGCCAAAAACAATGCCCGCAGCGAGGAGAGGTCATACTTACCTCGGCTTGCTGGAGGGTGCCAATGCTTTTCGGGATTTGTTGATTCTTGATTTTTCCCGTGAGAGTTCTAAAGCAAATGACTTTGTGAAACACCCCTCGAAAATGGTCTGCGAAAATGCGGGATTGCGGCTAGAATACCCCACTGCCCACATGTCCGCAAACTGATGAGCGCATCCGCTTAAGAGCACGAGCATGCGGCGACCAAAGCATGTTGAGTCCGACGCGGCCATGGTTGTGTCGGTTTTGTCCGGCTTTTTGGAAAACGGTTCAGCGTTTGCTCAAGTTGAAGGTTGAAGGACTGTAAGACTTAGGAATTTCGGGTTTGTGCTGCTTGGGTTTGATTTAGGGGTTAGGGCTTTGGGTGTTTCAGCTGTTTCAGGGCTACGGTTTAGGGTGGCTTAGGGTTTTGTTTCTGGTTTAGGGTTGGTTTGGTGTAAGTTCTGGGTGCCTCTAGGGTGGGGTTGCGGCTAGATTGATGTGGGTTTAGAGCTGCATTGGTTGGTTTTGGGTTTGTCTGAGGTTGGGCATGGGTAAGTTTGGGGCACGGTTAGGGTGGATGGCCTTAGGGTTTGGGGTTGATTTAATATGACATGTTCGGGGGTTGGTCTAGGGTTGGCTTTGGTTCAGGCTTTTGGTTTAGGGCGGGCTTTGGGTTTGTTTGTTTGGGTTTGGGAGGTGGGTATAGGCATGGCTTAATTTGGTTTAGGGTGCTGAGGGTGGGTTTAGGGTTGCCAAAGCCAAAGCCCACGCCATTGGCCACGTAGAGCCGTCACCATTAGACCCACGGCAGGAAAACACAGGAAAATAACCTTTAACATGGCCCTCCCTGGCTGGTAAAGCCATACCGGATAGACATTTGGGAACATAGAACGGTCGGATGACACGGGTGACCTCAGCTGAGTGGCGGATCAGCTCACCCTCTGGGTCTTTCTGGCGGATTGCGCGCAAGGCGGTTGGTGCAGTGAAGAGGCTCCGCACTGAGTACTCCTGCAGGCCGCAGGCTGCACCATCCCAGCAAAAAAAATGGTCAGGGCGTCCCACCTGGATCACCCGCCAAAAGGCGCCGGCATCTGGTGTGCCGATGGGTTTTCCTTCATAAAGCACCTAGGCGTTGGCACCAAAAAGAAGCGGAAGCAGCCACAGGAGGCTAGCGTCGTGTGTTTGCATGCAAGGTGCCGTGGCGCAGCCCTGCAGTAATGGACCATAGACAATGTAGGAATGGCCGACCACCTGCCGAGGCGAGCGAAAGGCTGGTGGTCCAGGCCTAGACGCAAGGCTTGCAGCGCTTGCAGCTGCGCGGCCCAGCCAATATCAGAGGCTGCCCAGTAGGCTTCCCCTGCATGTGTCTTCATAAAGTGGGTCATGGAGCTCTTCAGCGCTACCTGAGTGTGAGATCTTTGAACTGAGCCCTCCAGGGTTCTACTTTTTGACTGCCCCAAGGTAGACGTAAACCCAGGAGCTTTGCTTCTAGGGAAATGAACCACCTCTGGGTTTAAGTCTTTTTGGGGCTAGTCAAAAGGTAGAGCCCTGGAGCCCTCGCTATGTCTCATGGACTTCATGTTGCTTTTGGCGTGCGAGGCACGGCGTAGCCGCCCGTATCTCGCACCACTCCCTTGGGTTTGCCCGTGGATCCTGACGTGTACAGCCTTGGTATACACGGACTCTGCGCGGACTTCCCTCAGCTCCACTGCCGGCTACATGAGAAGCCCAGGCGCACGTACAATGGATCCGTGGACTCCACGGGCACCTGACGATTCAATCATGTTGACCTAGGATCCAAGTAGAACCCGTCCCAGTAGGGGCTCCCTCCAAAAGTGGTCTGAATCCCAGAAAAAAAGGGGACCACCCCGTTTGAGAATCAACCGGGGTTAACATGAACTTGGGCTTCGGAGGGCTTCAGTGGATCCAAAAGCAGCCGCAAACACATGGACATTCCCAGTTGCAACAAGGCACGCAGTCAGCCGGTCTGGCATTCGGAATCACCTCGTCCCAGTCCTCCACAAGGAAAAGGACATAAATGACTGCACCCACAAGCTCCAAGCTCCACATCACAAGATTGGACCCATATATGTATATATTGTAAATACAAAAAATATACATAGCTTTCAGACAGCTTGCAGCTGTTCACCCACTTTCACCATGACTATGTTTGTTTGTTTGTTTGTTTGTTTGTTTGTTTGTTTGCTTTTTTCTCGCCAGGTCCATGTTGAAATTCATGTGGCTCAGCTCGGTCCAGGTCGCCAGGCCGCAGCTCAGCGCGAGCTGTGTCCCTCTGCTTGCAGAGGCTGACCTGGAAGAGACGTTTTCCTACGCACCCAATGGCACAAGAAAAAGCAAAAAACCATGTGCATGTGTTTTCTTTCGTTTTTCTGTTTGCTTTTGTTTTACGGAAAGAGCCCCCCCCAAAAAAAAAACAAAACAATGCATGTGTCTTGAGGCCTTGGGCTTGAAAGACAGCAGTTCCAAGGCTTCCTCCAGCATGGGCTGATAAGCAATAGGGCCTACCAAGGAGCTCAAATCACAGCTGACAGTTCCAGTCGCTCTGTCGCTCTCTCGGTCTCTGACTCTCTCTCTCTCTCTCTCTCTCTCTTTTCCGCCTTTGGGCTCGACACCGCACGAGGCCCAAATCACAGCTTTTGGCTCCGCGTCTTTGATGCGGGTTGCCAGCTCTGCCCTGGCTCACTTTGAGTTTACCATCCACCCTACCCCCAAAAAAAGAAGTGGCCATAAGTGGCCCCACAGGGCTACAAGATACAAGGCACTGGCTATCCCAATCATTTTCAGAAGCCAACGCCCCTTGGTGATACATGATTACAATATATATATAAAGGATATGTGTTTACATTATTTTCCCAGGGCATCCTTTGGGAATTCTATCAAAGGGACCAGACCGCAGACCGCGTCAGCCCGGTTCGCGGCACCCGGCGAAGCCGCCGAAGACCACCGAGTGCACTGCACCCAGGCGTGCGCACGCCAGCATCGCGAACACGGCCTGACTCGTTTCTTTGTGGTCGACTTTTCTGAGCCCTGTCATTCTTTTGGCGGCTTCTGGGTAGGCTATCAAAGTCAGAAAATGTGGTTGTTTCCTTTCTAGGGGTTGGTTCCTTGTCCATTATTTTCAACCATCGTTCTTTTAAAGAAACAGCTATATTTTCCCTGGGTTTCACAGGAGGTCTTCTAGAAAGAAAGATCCCTGGAAAGAATGGGGAAGGTACCAGTTGGTGGCTCTTAAGCGAACCCAACACCCAAGCCCAAGCGCCCTTCAAGGACCCCCCCCCCCCGCATTACCGGTCACCAAACAAAAAGAAGAAAAAACAACATAGGGGGGGGGGAAAACCGGACTTCTTGAGGGCTCTCTCGCGCCATCTTGGCAGGTTGAGTGAAACAAGTTTGGCATTTCAGCCTTGACACGCTTCTTGCTGAAATTGCAGGGCCTCTAAATCTCCCATCGAATCTTGAGATCAAACCAGGCTGGCATGCTGAGCAAAAAAAAATGCAAATGGTAGGTTCGCTCGGAGACACTTAAGCTTTATGCTGAATGCATGGCAACCACGCATGCCATGCTTCCAGAAACTTCAGTCAATGCTTTGCGGGATTGCCTCTGGGATCATGGGCATGTAGATCACTACCTTGGCTCCAGGGAGGGACAGCAAGTGAGCCACAATCAAAACCCGGAACTAAAATGGTGAACCTTTTGATTGTGGCTCAAGCAACACCATGCGCATCAACAGAAGCACGCCACCCGCCCGTTTGGCCAAAGTGCCCGGTCTCCTCTGCCGATGCTCTTCGATGCCAAGAAGCCAGCTACGCGGGCGACCTGCATAGTTCTTGGCCATCCCGCGCTTCGAGTTTGCCACAATTCTACGCGCCTCATCTTTCAGCTGCTCAAAAGTGATGGTTTGCTTGACCTCAAAGGTTTGCCAGGCGCACAAACACGTGAGAAACACGTGCCGCTCAAACGCTCCCCTGTTGGTCCCCACTCGCCGAGGCACGCCCAAGATCGGGGAATCGTAGATAAGTGCAGCCTGTGCGCCACGGCCTGTCGTCGAGGGAGAGGAGCAAACAGCTAGCAGAGCCAAAACCACTCACAAGGACTGTAGGAAGCCGTCATGTGGGTAGACTCATTATGTCCAAGCGCACGCAGAACTGTCGATTCGTCGATAGTAGGCGCTTGGGCCCCTTCTTGGGATTTGTCCTTTCCCTTAGCATTCGATGCATGGGGTTGGCCCTCCCACAAGCCATCGGCATCCGCCTTCATCGACGTGTCGGTCCACAGTGTTGTAGCACATGTTGAGCTGAGCACCTGCGAGAGTGTCACTTGGACCTGAACGAGGCCATGAGTCAAGCCTGAGAACCATCGGTCGAAAGGGGTCTTGGACGTATCTAGCACAGTGTGCCATTTACGATCCCACACGATGTCCGCCGCAGCGTCTGCCCAAAAGCCTGGCCAGGGACGGTCGATGGCTGTCCAGTGTCAGCTGGCACGGCCTTCAGGGTCCTCCACAGACCGCCGATGCAGCTCATTGTAGCTGGCTCGTGCTATGCACCTACACTCGCAGGGATCGACCACGGAACCGTTTTTCAGAGGGCCAAAGGGGCCAAAGGTGCCAAAGGTGCCGAAGGATGCCGAAGGATGCCGAAGGATGCCGAGGGGGGCAAGGGGATGAAGCGGGTGAGCCAACTCAGAGACCAGCCTCCGGGGAAGCCAATGGCGGCCCAATCGCTGGACTCTCGCCTGAGAGTCTCTAATCGAGTCCCTGCAACCCTGCCGCATCTGCCAAGAACCAGCTGCGAAAGGGTTGTCTAAGACAGTATTCTAGGATGTCGTAAGAGAATGGCCATTCTCAAGCCAAGCCGCTCTTTGAAACAGCGTGAGCATGGCGCTCGCGTCCCCACTCTTGAGCTTCGAGGCTCCAGAGCCGATCCAAAAGCAACCGCCATGTCTGAAATGCGCAAATGACACCGGAATCAAAGATGAAGAGCCCAAAAGACCCCAAAAACCACGCCGGGCCTGTGCGAAGTGACTGGGATCCTCGGCTTTCAGGATCAGCCACTGAGCTTCAGACATCAGATCGCCTGCAGCTTCCCCTCGTCCAGCTGGATGCCTCAGAGCCCAAAGCACCAGAAACGCCTCGCCCGGCCCTCCAGTCGAGCGGCGCTCCCTGACTGCCAGAGCCAGGGGTCGCAGAGCCTCTGCCCCCAGATCCTGCAGCTGCTCTTGGATGGCCTGGACTAAACACGACCCACCGCCGCCCAAGCCACACCCTGCTGCAACTGACCAAATTTTCAATTCGGACCGCGCCTTGCGACCGGACTCCGTCAAAGCTTCCACGCCGCTGGGCAGCATGATGCCTCAGGCGAGGCTGGAAGGTGTTACCCACTTCACGTTTAATCGTGCCCTGTCTCTGACCAAGTTTCGGGTACATCTCTCTAAGATGCTTTCAGGCGCCCCCTTGACATACAGCACTGGCACCTGCAACCAAGGCCACTAATTAGGGCTTGCTGATAGCAACTGGGTGTGGTCTCTCGCTCTCTGTCTCTCTCCCTCCTGCTCTGACTCTCTTTCCCTCCCCGAGCAGGAGCCTCCTCATCCGTAACCAGCACGCTCATGGACTTGCGCTCGCGCGTGAACTCCAAGGTGGCTCGCCTTTGAACACGCGAGGACCAGTACCTGCGGAGCTCCGCGTTTTTTGCTTGGCCACACCCTGGCATCGGGCATGGTGCATTACAAAGAGACATGGCACCGCAGGACGTCATACGATGCGGGGCACTGGGTAAAGGCCATGACATCCTCGTGACCACGCTGTGATTGCCAGCATCGACCTCATGTGCGGGGAGAGGCGCCAGCCGATTCTCCCCGTCCCTCAACCTCCCCCAGGTCAGCACAACACCCGACTTTTCTTTCCATCTGCCACGGCAAAGCTCCATGAACTACAAGAAACCTGCCGTGCTTGGGATCCAAGCCGTGGAGTGCTGCGTCAGGACAGCCGAGCTTCTCCACCAGCACCAGCAACGCCGCCTGGGCCAACGGTCTCGGGAGAGAAAGTCGCAGGCGCGACCCAGGCCTCGGTCGGCTCCCCGATGCGGCGGTAAGCGCCGCAGTTTAGCTCCAGCCTGCCGAAGTCCAAACAAGTCCGAAACAAATGGCGCTGAGTGGCTCATAAAGACCAAGTCTGGCTTGTCCGCACCCTTCCTGTGCCTTTTGCAAGATCCTTAAAAAGCAAGAAACATACTTCCTATTCACGACCTCCCCCACCCCCCCTATTCCCGCTAGTGCTGTCCTTTTCGCGTCCTCCTCTGCTCTTCCCGTCCTCTTCCAGCCCGAGCTCTTCCCGTTCTCTTGTCCTTTTCCTATATCAACACAAGTTCCAAGGGACCCTTGTTGCTTTTTGCACCGGGTTTTGCAACCCAGTGAAGGCAACAATTCCGCAAATTGTGATTTGGCGCTCAAACCACGCCTTCTACACAGATGCCACAAAGCGCACATGTTGCTTGTTGCAGCCGGCAGCAAAAGCAACGAAGTTTGGCCTGCCAACGCGCAACTTTATATCCTTATCTTCCAGATTGTTTCCATGTATTTCAGTTTCAATTGTTTTGTGTTTCGCTGCGATTCACCGTGTTTTAATGGCCGCGTTTCTGCCTGGCCCGCTGAAAAGAAAAAAACTTAGCCCATGACGCAACGGCGTTCGAGTTCGCAGTTGCGTACAACTGCGGGCCTTGCCCCGTTGCAAACCGCCAGGATCTTTGCCAGGGTCTGCAAGCTGCGCTGCTGCCAGTCCTGAGCAGCCATCCCTGCATAATGTTGACCCAGGATTAATAAACCCGTCCCATTATTAGGGGGATTTTCCCTCCAAAAGTGGTCTGAATCCCCACTAAAAGGGGACACCTCCCCGATGAATCAACCAGGGGTTTATCCGGGGTTAACATTACCTGGTTCCTTTGGGGGAATGAATCAACATTGAATCAACTCGCTCCGTTTCGCCAGGAATCCACCGTCAAGCCAGAGACCTGCCCGACCGGTGCAAAGGTGTGACCCTCCACCGCGTGGCACACCAGCTTCGAACCTGCGGCCGTTTGATGGCGCTCTGGCGTCTGCCTTTTTCTCCGTCCTGCCACGGGGAGGACCAGCTTGGTGCAGCACATCTCCTGATATGGCTGTGGGTCAAACATGTGTGCCGCAAATGGAACCCCGGTATATGGAAATAAGGACTAAACCAGCGATCCCCTGGTGGTTCAATTTTGGCCCATGCCCATATGTACGGGAGCTTCCCGCATGCATAAGGCCATTCCTGGATGTATTGCTATTGATTGAAAGCTTTCCGAGCTGCATTCGTCGTGAGCGTCCCCGTCTTGTCGGAGCAAATTACCTGAGTTCTCGAGTCCCTAACGCCACTTCAACGACTCTTGCCCGGTCCATTGGTTGTGGATCTCTCTGAGGTAACTTGCCACGCTTGCCACGCTTGCCATGCGGCCGCGCTGCGGTGGTGCATCCCAGTGTCTCCACCGACGGCAGCTTTCGCACGATGGCGTTCTTCTTTGCCATCTCGCAAGTTCCTCTCCGAAAGCGGGGAATTCGCGCCAGAGCGATGCATCGCGCCTAGGGCCAGGCAGGTGGTGATGACCGCCGGCAGGCCCTCCGGGATGGCTGCCACAGCCAAGGCCACAGCAATCCTTGGCTCGCGCGACGATCCCAAACCACATGGAGCCAGGATCATACAGCATCTCTGGCTCATGCTTTTTTGGCACCCGGATACTGACATCTGGATGCACGGTGAAAAGGCAACGGGCGTTCGAGTTCCAACGGTCCAAGTCTCTGGATGTCTTCTGTCAGGCACTCGCTGGGATTTGATGTGGGTATGGGTGAAGATTCAAACCACCAGGAAATGGACCGCAGTTCTAGTCCATGTTTCCATTTGCCAGGGTTTCATTTTGGGCACACATGTTTGACCCACAGCCAATGTGTGTTGCCATGTTTTGCCCTATGCCTTTCGGGCCTGGCCTTCGCCTCACTGCGACACGGCGCGGAAGTCTAGCATGGCCATCTAGCCCTGGCCATGCACGCCTCACCGAAAACGCGGGTGAACCCGCAGGTCACGCTGCGCTCGGAATCGTTAACGATGAAGCTCCCTGAGCATTTGCAAACTGAAACTATATTGGAAGCAAAGAGGTCTAGAGGCTGGCTGATGTATATAAATGTTCAGGGCTGATATAAGCTTTGAAGCCTCCTATGCACTGCAACTCACAGCAGTCGGAGACTTCAAAACAAATGAGTGAAGCCGAGGGAATTGGGCTCTGGGTCTTCAGAAGCTGTGAAAGCTTTGGCTGGATGCCATGTGTCCTGTGGCACTCAAGTGTTGGAGCCATCACTGAGATCACTGACTATCGACCCGTCCCAGCGTCAAGCTTCATTAGTTCACCGACGTCAACACAGCGTCATCCTGTCTGACGGGTAAGACTACCTCTGCTTAAACAGTATCAAGATGCGAATCTGGCATTGACAGGTTCGCTGGAAAAGCTAGCATCGATTTGCCTCTGGCCTTCAGACTGGCTCAGGCTTGGGCACTGCCGCAGTCCAGGCTAGGCCCGTTAGGCGTTCGAACTTTTTTCACAGGTGTGCCAAGCAGAGCCACCAAAGGCCAGAGCCAACTTCACGCAACTAATGGATCTGTGCCCAGCAAGGCACGAAACTCAGCCACTGTTTAGCACTCCCAATGTCGGTGAGTCCAGGACTTTCAGCATCGGCCGCACGTGCTATTGCTTGTCTGCTTCTTGCTTTTTCTAGTCCTGGCCTGACTGACACGCGTGTCCACTATTGTCCATTCGTGCGGCACCAGGGCCAATTTCCACAATGTGCTCCGCACCGGAGCTCGGCTTAGGCCGTGCTCAGCTGCGGCTCCGGCTCTTTCTTGCGCACCTCAGATGAGGCAAGGATCTACGAGACTGGCCAAGTCGTTTGGCCCAGGTGCTGATTTCTTAGTGATTTTCTTCGGCTTCGGCTCGGTCACATGCTCGTCCAACAATGCAGCCTGACCCACAATGTCACAAAGGCATTGACTGTTGAGCAACTAAGGATTTTGTTGGCCATGAGTTCATCAGAATTCAACGCCAATATCTCCATCACCCTTGAGCCTTTGCACGCTGCTCTTCAGTTGCTCTCTTCCCTTTGGCCTGACTAGTGTCCTTGTCCTCTGGCACTTCTGTTGCAACCTCCTCCTCTAGCGTGGGCAGTTTTTCTTCCGAACCTGGATGTGGCTTGAGGCCATGCCCACGGATGTGCATTGGGTGCTGTGGAGACCCACACCGTGCCTGACGCACCCTTGTTGCCTTCCCATTCCGCGACCCCGATGACCTCACAATACCTCACCCGCTTCGACGCATCGCATCGCTTCTTCGCATCTCTTACCGTCTCCGACTTGGGCCAAGCACGGCGTGGGAAGCTCCGACTCCAAGTTGGTCATGGAGCGCGCGAGGTTGGATCGCGAATGCCCGACCTCTTCCATGTCAAGCGTTGCCTCGCACTCCGTGTGCTGCGTACTAGTAGTAGAACGGCCTGGGCGACATGCATCCACAAACAGTCTTTCACACAATCAGTTTTGCGTGCTGAAAAGAACCTCAAGTGTAATGTGAATGTCCGGATGCCTGCCACATGCTTAAGTACCACGGCTGCCAAGGCACTTTTAACAAGTCGAGACCTCATGTAGCGGGCTCGGACAGCAATTGCGTTGCGCGCCAGGCGTTTGGAGCTGTTGGCCACTGCTTGCCTCTCGAGATGCACGAGCAAAACAAAACACAACGATGGCCCCAACATGCCCCAACATTCCCAGCTCGCGCGCGCCTCTTTGCGGCATAGTTCGCCGCCGACCAGGGCGAATACTTGACCCGGCGCTTGTTCATGTCGGCCTCCTGAAGCGCAGTGACTGCCAGTGACTGCCCGTGTTCCCCCTGTGGAAAGCTTCGCTTCGGTGCAGCCGGGCGTCCGAGATGCAAAACTCCGGGGACCTCAGCTGAGATTCGTCGCTTCGCTCGGCTTGACTCATCTTGGCGCCCGCGCTGAGTGCAGGTTTGATCCAGGAGCCGCTCAAGGCTGGTGTTCATCGACTGGGCGAAACGGTTTAAGCGCCACGAGTTCAGAGCTCTTCATTGCGCCTTGCAGTAATCAGGAAGAGGCAAATCGTTATAATCATCCTCGAACCTAAGAAAGAAAGGGCCATTCAAGCAGCCTCAGAACGTCAGAAGAGGCGAGTGGAACTCGCTACCAGTGTCTTGGGCGGGCCGCGGGTTCTCCAGCTCTGCGGCCGTGTAGTTGACACCCCACAGTGCCTCAGCAATCGCTATGCCGCTATGGCCCTACCCAGTACAACCCACCGCTCATGGCCTGTCCCAGTTTACCATTCAATCCCTGTGTAGGCATAGCATCTTTCTCAAAGGCAGTCATGTTGAGAAAAGAGATGCGTGAGATGTTCCCGGATGGGAGGGCATGTTTTGGCCGGGGTTGCAAAGTGCCAACAGTTGCCAACTGGATCTGAGGCACTGTGACGCTCACGACAGTGATGCCGAAGCACCAACCTGCGGAGTCGATCACCTCCGCGCACAGGACCTCAGCCGCTTCCCACATGCATCACATCTGGCCCATTAGACATCCATTGAATGCGAGGATGGCGCTGGTAGGATGAAGGTGTTTGCCACAAGTGCGAAGGCCATCATCTGCGCATATGGGAATGGAAATCTAACCTCGGCCATTGTGGCAAGTAGCATGCCATTAGCCAAAGTGACGCATGTGAAGCGCGAGAGTTGGATCCACGAATTCGTCCAGGCAGCATCAATAATTGTCTGAACCTGTTCAAGGCCGACACGCCCCCGTGATAGCTCCTGAAACACGCGGGTGATGATGGGCGGCGGAACGTCCAAGACTTGTGAATCCTCAGCGGGCCATAAGGCTTCCCTCAATCAAGCTTGCTCAAGCAGAGCCATCCAACATGCAAGGCCAGGCTGCAATGTGTCTGATCACCGTGTTCTGGATCCTGGGCTGGCAGGGTGACCAAGCACACAACCCAATTCTGGCAGCCGAGTGGCCACTGGAGAATCACCTCACACTTGTCCTTAGGTCCACCCTCTCTGTGACGCCTTTGCCGCAAATCTACTGGGGGCAGGGAGAGCCAGCCAACCAACTCACACGTTATGGCCGCGCCGCATCTTGCTGTCTCACCCACGCGATGGATTCCTTAGTGCGGAGATCTGCCATCCTCTGCGCCATTTGGCACTCTGGTTACCTGGGAGTAAGTCCCCGTGGCTTGGGACAGTCAGTCCCCGGCAGTACCCCCCCCCCATTTTAGGGGAATGGCAAGAGCTATTGATGAAGAATCCCCTGCTGGAAAGGAGGCCAAGACCCTTGTTGCTACCTCTTTTGCGGGCGCGAAGGTAGCAGTTCACAGGCCGGTAGAGCAACTTTCAACTTGGATTCCATTTGATTGGAACTGCAGCTTCCTTTTGAGACTTTGGGGGCCGGGCAAGACTTTGTTGGGGCTGGGGGCCTCAAGTTGGCCAGTAGTGGGCAGTGTTCGGCGAGACGCGAAAGAAAACACGATGGGGAAGATGGATATTGGGATTTTGGGGAATGGAGGAAGGTACCCAGGATCCAGGGAGCCATGTGTTGGCTTGGCTTCCAGTTGCTTTGGTTAGCTTTTGGGGCCAGCCGCTTGTCTTTAATCCACATCCATGTACTCATGCTAGGCCCAGTACAGCTGAAGCGCGGGAGCAAATCCGGAGATGTCTGCGACGTCGAAGCCCAGGTCTTTGTCCGCCAGCTGCTCCAGTGCGGTAACCCAAAGCATGGACATCAGCCGCACGAGCCTCAGTGGCACGAAAATATGTTTGTCGCTCAGAAAAAAGCACAAGGCCGGGCCTATGTTGGAACTTGAGCACATCTTCCTGCAAAATCCCCGCTTGTGGCGGGGCATGGGCCATACTTGCGTGTTAGTTGGATCCCGTCCTGCTTACTTGGATCTCGGCTGCAAAAGGCGAAGAGGCTGCTGGTGGCTCCAAACCATTCGCCCCTCACCTGCCGCAAGTTGGTCGCGCCTGGCTCGAGACAAACCCCCCGCGAATTGCCAGTTTCTCAGGCTGGCCTTCCCAATAACGCCCATACGCATTCGTGGTTCTGAAGACCACCAGGAAGGCCAGCATGGCCTCAGTCTCAATAAGACTGAGAGGGCATCCGCCGACTGGGCATCTTGCGACACAGCCAGCATAGCCAGCCCTGCATGCCCAGTTGCATTGTAGGATGCCCAAGCCTGACTCACCTCAGCAACACAGCGGCAACCCTTGCAGAACCACAGACCCAGCACACGGACAAGCCAGCAATGAAGCAAGCAGGCATGCAGGCAGGCAGGCGGCAAGCACTCAACCAAGCTCAAAAAGCCCTCAAAAGTTCAAGGCGCTGCAAAGTTTTCGAAGCTGATTTCAAGGTGATTCAAATAAAGCTTGAGCCTCGGGTCGGTTCGTTCACCTCTCTTGCTCTCTCTCTCTCTCTCTCTCTCTCTCTCTCTCTGCTGCAGACCAATAACACCAAGCAACCCTAGTGCCAGAAGTCCACTGGGGACTCCCCATAAGAGTGCCTTTGGGAGAACTGATCCATGCCATCGAAAGGCGAAACCAATATGCCATCTCCCTGGCAAGCAAGACTAAACATACTGAAACACTGGCGTGTGTGTGTGTGTGTGCGCTTGTTTTTCGACCAGCACCAAAAAAACACAGCAAAGGAAACTTGGGACATTCACCTGCCTGGCCGGTAGTCTATCATGGCGAAGCCCCCGGCTGCTTTGCAGGCGGGGGAGTGGTGCTAAGCCGCCCAGGCTGCTAAGACAAGCGAAACTTTGAGGCCTGCTGTTTGCGCTGGCTGAAACGTCACCTTGACCGGAAACAAACATCAGCAACGCTTAAGCCATGGCTACTAGAGCCTCCCATGGCGGCGGCATAAACTCAAGCTGCTCTGCATCCGACCCTTGAGCACCAGTGGGCTGTTCCCAACATGGTTGTGAAGTCGCATAGGCCTTCCCCCAATGAAACAAGGCGGGACCTACGCCAGCGAACTTGCTCGCTTGCACCTGGCAGCTTCGACCCATCCGGATTTCCGGCATTTCCGGCAAGCGGCTTGAAGTAGTAGATGCATCCCCGGAGGACCTGTTGACATCGGGCCGTGCGAGATCGGCCGTCGGAAAAATGCGTGTTGCGCCAAGTCACGGAGCCATGCACAGGATCGAAGAAATGCTTGTAGTTAATGGCCCACACCTGGGATGTGTGTTCTGTTTCCAGCTGGATTTCTTGGAACCCATCCCCAACACGTCCAGTTGTCGCTTTCTCCGAAACCTGAGTTTGTGTTTGTGAAGAGCCGCAAACTAAAGGCCCGCACCAGTGCGCAAACGGCGAAGATCACCTGCGACTCATCTTAGGGGCCCCCTTTGATCACCTTCCGTCGCGCCTTCGCCAAGAGGTTGCCGAAGTCATCCAGCTTCTGCTGCAAGGGCGTCTGCTCCTCCGTTCAACGCCCGAGATCATGGCCCAACATGGCAACCCAAATACGAAGTTCGGATCCCTGGAAGGCAGGCCTAGAGGCCTCTCCACTTCTCTTCCTGCGACGCGTGTCCTCTTCGCCAGCGGCAGATTGCACTGCATCCTCGCGGCGGAATGAGCCCAGCAGAGACGCATGCAGAAAGCTGGCTCAGGCCTGAATCTTCCCGATCTCCGTGCCCATGCCAATAGAAGTCACCACAGAAAGGCATGAGCCATTGGAGATGGTGGTGGATGCAAAGAGCATGTTCACCTTGCAGGCAGAAAGGCCTGGAGGGGTCATTGCCTAAAATAATGGGGTCATGGACCTATTTTCAAAAGGTCATGGACCTATTGTTAAAGGGTCATGGAGACTCCAGGGGGCTGTCAGGCATTTTCTGACTGAGGCGGGCCTTTCCCTGGATCACAGATTCCTGGACGGGAGCGATCTCTTTGGATACGCTCTGCGACTCGCCGGTCAGCTGAGACCTGAAAGAGCAGTGACGCTTTTGCATCTAAACCCCCATGGAAGGGCGGCATCTTCGTCTGCAAGGGCCAAAGCCATGTTGTCAACCCACTCATTAATCAAACCTAGCAAATTGAGCCGCAAACCGAGTCAGCCAAGAGTCTGTTCAACTCGGATGCTGCTAGAGCTCAGCTGAACGATTCGCATATCAGCTGGCACCTTGTCTCCCACCTTCACCTGCAAAGGCCCGCGCGAGCCATCCAACTGCCGCATGTATGAGACAAGGCAGACAACCAAAATTATGCATCTGGCCCGTGCTTCGGGCTCCCCTTCGATTGACGCAAATCCGCTTGGTCACGTGCGTTGCAAGCCGTCAGTCACGTCGCCTGTACCACATCGCCAGGCACCAGCTCCATGGCATCGAGCACCTGCCACTTCCCATCCCGCAGCACCAGGGCCGAGTCCGGCTGTAGCCTCAGCGCCAGCGACCGGTGCCTGTCTCGGAATGCGCGCATCCGCGCATCCGCGCATCCGCGCGGCCTTTTCAAGGCCACCAGGGCTTCCTCCGCGTTGGTCTCTTGCCACACCCCCACCACGGCATTAGCCACGAGGATCAGAAGGATCACTAACCTCAAGGGTCTCACACGAACACGGCTCAAGCACCTCTTTCAATTGCGCGCAAATGGATACTTCTGCAAAGCTGCGGTTCCACGTAGGCAGTGATGCCTTCCTCACCGGTGCCATCGAGGTATGCCAGGAAGAAGGAGACAACCGCTGACAGGAGCAGAATCCGCACCAACCTCGCTTTACGACTCTCTGAGCTTCACGCTTCTGTCAAGCGTCCGTCACAAAGTGACTTGACAGTGGTGGGCTTTGATGCGCGCCAATGTGAGCCAACGCCCTGGACAAAAGCCGAGGTGCAGGTCCTCAAATTGAGCAACGATCAGTTTCCACAGTGGCTTCTTCTCCTGCATGCCGGCAGGAAATAAGGAAACAGCGACCGCTATGGCCTCGTTACAACAGAAGGAGCCTGACAATGTCCCAACTGACTAACAAGCAGTTTACTTTCCCACTTAGGGCCAGGATAGGCGGATGAACGACATGGGTCAGGTCAACCCCAATTGACGCTGCCCCTCCCCCCCTCCCTCCCCAAACACGCCATGACTTGTCGATTTAGCATCTGCAGTCGGCTGTGCTGCTCCCGCCTCCTCAGCCAGCTTATTGAGGCCGAACCGCAAGCGCTGTTGCAGCACCTGCGTGAGAAGGAAGCCATACAAAGCTGCAGGCACTGTCCGCACAGCAGTCGCAATCACCTAATCACACAGACACAGACACAGACACAAACACAAACACAGACACACACACACACAGACATGCAACCAATTCTCTACACACGCATACATGTTTGCATTACATTGCACTACGCCACAGGGCATTGAATTGCATTCCGAAAATGCACGAACGTGCGTGCATTTACAAACACTCAAACACACGAAACATACAAATATGCATGCATGGCGCTATGGTACACAACATTAGGTGACATGACAACCACACAACCACGCACACACAAGCATAGTGAAAAACGGGAACAAATATACAAACAAGCAAGCACAAAAATACAAACACAGAAGTACACAAACACTGGATTGCATTGCGTTACAGTGCAGTGCGTCACACACATTGCATCACATTCACTACGTGCATGCATATGCCGTAGGTACGTACAATCATTACATCGCATGGGATTGCCTTGCATTACATTATCATATAAATATATACATACAGGCATGCATTGCATGCATTACATACATACATACATTACATTACATTGCATTACATTATATTACATTACAGTACATTACACACACACATACACACATACACACATACATACATACATGCATGCATACATACATTACATTACATTACATTACATTGCATTGCATTACATACCATACCATACCATACCATACCATTCCATTCCATTCCATTCCATACCATACATACATACATACATACATACATACATACATACATGCATACATACATACATACATACATACATACCATACATGCATACATACATGCATACATGCATACGTACATACACTACATACACACATTCCACACATGACACATGCCTACATACATCAAACTACATTTCTTATTTGCATTGTTTCTTTACATCATTGTCCTTCTTGCGTACATACTGACCTACATGCAGGCGTCATACATGCATACAGTACCTTACACTACCTTCCGTTGCACATTGCGCTACATTGCATTACACACATGCACAAGTACGTACCTACTTACAATACCTGCATAGATACACAAACATGCACCAATGCATACCTGCACGCATATGTCCTTGCATTACAGCACATTGTGTGGCACTAAATTACATTCCTTCCCCTTACATGGATTTCACATACTTACATTGCATTGCATTACATCAGCACGCTTAATTACAGCACGCTACACTACAGTACATCATATCATTACATTACGTGGCAGTACATGCATGACCTACATACATACAAGTAGTATAGATTACAATAAACTACATCCCGCTACATTACATTCATACATACACCAACAACCCCCCCAAAAAAAACATGCATGCAACCATCACTTACAATACATGCATGCATGCATGCACAGCATTACATTCCGTTGCATACATACATGACCGGACATGCCTGCATGCACGTCTGCGTGCAGTGCATCACGTGTGCGCGTGAGTACCAACGCATTGCAATGATCGCACTTCCAAACGCAAGCACGCACTTCCGTACGTACACACATGAACACACACACACATTGCTGCATGCATCCGCATGCATGCTTAGACCGACTGCCATTCCACATTACATTGCATTTCATGAATGCAGCAGAATGCATGAACACATAGATTCATACATGCATACATCCCGACATAACATTGCCATGCATTACACTAAGTTCGTTTGCCTCGTGGTGTTTTGCGTGCATGACTTGTGGTGCATAGAATCATCCGAGATGTCGTGCATAATATATGCTCATACATGCGATTCCTTGAAGGCGCACGTGAGTCATAATCAAAACCCGGTATTAAAATTGTCGACCCAGAACTATGTACAGAATTAAGAAGGCGGTCGCAGCTATTTGTGGTTGGGATTGTCCCTTCCCCGGGTTTTGATTGTGACACACGTGCCTTTTTTCAAAGCGAGCATCGGCCACGTGTATGCGTGCCTGACCGCTGGAGAGGCCTTCTGCCAGTGTAACCTGATAGAAGCTCAGCACTTCCTCCGCCGGCAGCGCGTGCGGAGCCTTCAGCTCCATGTCCTCCGCGCATGGAGCGGCCAGAGAAGGGCCCAAAACGTTTTAACCCTCCCGGCCTGCATGGGCAAACATGGGTCACGGTCCCATGGCTGACCCGTAGAACTGAACCAGCTGCAACATGGGGTGGTTGGGTGGTGCAATGCGGCCATGGAGAGCGTTTTCCTACTCTGCTGTGTGTGTTGCTGGTGTGCTGGTGTCATAGCACGCCGGGCTTGTTCATTGGCTGGATGATGTCTTTTCATGCGCCTCTCAAGAAGCAGTAAGGCTTGACCATGCTGCCACGCGATATCAAAGAACTAAGGGCACAGCGTCAAGTCTGCTCGGATAGGGGCGACAACAATTCGCACCACACGCGCCACAGTGCATGATTCAAGCTTGCCATCTCATGACAAAGCCGGGTCGACGCCGAACAACATGAAGACCTTGTTCTTTGGAACTTCGTCCCCCTTGATGCTCACAACATCCTGGGCGGAGGCAGCGCCCCTCGAAAATCATCGAACATCTGGCCAGCACGCACCCAGCAACTGGGGAATCTGCCACTTCCACTGTCCGGCTGCCCCGTGTAGTATGTTCAGTCCTCACAAGTGGCAGAAAACGGCTGACCGCTGACATCTTGAGATATCCCGAGTCCTGACTGTCATCGTAGGGCATTTGGCCGCAAGTTGGCGCAGTGCCGTGTGCAGGTCCTGCAAAGCTTCCGCAAAGCAAAGCGAGCCTATTTCCTGCTCGCTACCTGGCTGGTGTGGTAAAATGTCGGCAAGCCTCGCAGAAGCTCATTCTGAGGCCCAGCAAGTGCACCACATGCTAGAGCAGCTTCAGCACTCTGAGTGTCTAGCTTTCTGGGGACCTGCAAGCCAATGCGCCACGATAGCGGTCAGCGCCAGAAAGCCATCTTGCTTGTCCAGTTCAGCGCATGCTTCATTTGCCTGGACACCTTTGCAGCCCATGCCACGCCCAGGAGCAGCACAGCCTCAAGCCGACAGCATGTCCACGGCGAGGCGTGAGCGGCTGATTTCGGTAAGGCCCTAGCGCGCTTCATTGACATGAACCTCGAGGTATGTGCTGAAAACCGTGGAGCGAATGTGGCTTAGCAAGAGCGTCTCTGACATGCACATCCAAGCTCATGGCCTACTGATTCCAAGGCGGAATCGCGTACTTGAACCACAAGGACATGTGAATAGAAACGCAATTGTATCGCACAACGGGCCAAATCCGCGCAATCAGTGGGTACATGAGAGCCCGCCATGCGTTGTCAGTGCAGCTTTCAAGCCTTACAGGCGCGAGCATTGCAAAAGGGAGCCGGACCGAGCGACACGACTGCCAAACGCCAATGCTTTGTCATGGTCAGTCTCGTCTCCTGCGCCAAACAATCTGTGGCACTGGCATCCCCGCCGCAATTCTGCAAACCCGACGTGTTGCTGCGTGTCTCTGAAGAGACCTACCCGTCCAGCGGCCCACCAGGGCACGACACCAGCACTTCCAACATTTACATGCTGCTTTCAGCAGCTTTGCACCTCGGTTACTTCCAGAGGTGTTTGTGTCCAGAGCTGACCAAGAAGCTCTCCGGATGCTCGGAAATCAGCTCTCCGTGGAAAAAATCCGCTCGGGGACTCAATAAAGAATTTATCCAGGCCTTCTAACGCCCACCTCACAGATCCATGTGAGACATGCGGAGCTTTAGGTGCTCAATGGGAATTGGCATGTCGCACTTGCAGCGGCCTCGGGTCAAGTATGTTCCTTTTTGTCTCAAAATAGGACTCGGTGTTCATGGTGTTTCCCTTTATTGGTGTAACACACCGAAGGATCTGTCTGATTTCTCCCTGCGATCGGAGCTGCCCATAACCAGCACGGATTTCGTACCTCGGAGCTGCACAAAACTTCCAAACCCCGAAACCTGCAGCCAACTGCCCCCATGTGAGTCTCAGACAGGCGGCCCCGCTTGCGACACCGCATGCTGACAACCCCCGGTTTCTCAAGATTCGCCTACCGAACAAAGGTCAAGAAGTCTGCCGGACAGCTGTTGATAACCGACCGGTGTGGCCGATCCTCTGGGGTCTAGCGGTTTGGGGGGCTACCTTGGCAGGGCGTCAAATTACCATGTGACAAATCACATACCTATATAGATATCCCCGTCAATCCGGAAAGTTCATAGGGAGTTATAACATCTGTGTCCATGGGCTATGTGCCAAAGGGCCAAGACCAAGACCTTACCTACGTAGTGGCCAAGCTGCTTGTTGTCAAGGGACTTGATTGCAGTATTCGCCTGCAAGGGCTGTCAAACCAGTTGCAAGTCAGACTGCCAAACTGCATCTTGGCGCCTCATCAGGAGTGCGAAACTCCACGAAGGCTGAGATACCTCGGGGTCATGCGTGGCACCTGCCGGCCTGTGACATATGGCCCTGGCAGCCATTTTTGACCTTGCCGGTCATCAAGTGCACCTTGTCAACCTGGCCAAAACATCCACTCAGTTAACAACTTCAGCTGAGCACAACTGCTGCAGAGCAGCTGTGCCATAGGTGCTGAAGACATACTCAATGGCGCCCTCCTGGCCATCAGGCGCATCAGGGCCGCGCAGCGCGGTACCGATACCCGCATGCAGATTCCCGCCTGAATGTCGTCGGGAAGGTTTGCCACATAGAGCTTGGTACCGGGGCTCCAGCCTTGGAACCGAACCAATCCGAGCCAATGCCACAACCACCAAGTTCCCGACTCACAGGCGGAGGACCTGGAGTTGCAAGGGCTGCTCCTTTGAGCTGTGTTTCCTGCCCTGCCTTTCCAGCCTTTCCCCTTCCCATTCATGCCTCGGCTCCCGCAGAACCCAAGCGGCCAGACCAAGGCTGTCAAATTGAGGAGGCAGAAGGGCAAGTCGAGGTCGTGGCTCCAGCCACTCCAATCACCTGTTCAGCACTCACGCGAATTCACGTGGCACATCTCATCGACTTGTGGTGCCAATGCAATGCCGGCAGCTCAACCAACTTCTTCAAGGCCCGAGTGATCCTAAGCGCCACCCCGCTCGCGCCTTGCCAGCTCATCCAACTCGGCCCTGGGCACGTGCTTGGCTTCACTGTGGACCACGGATTTGAGCCATCTCCGCCTTCCCAGCCCTTTGTCCATCCTTTGTCCTGCCCAGGTGTAAGCCACAGCTGCCAAGGTCAGAAAAATTAATCACCGCTTGCCTGCCAGCCTTTCTCCCAAAGTCTGTCCTGCATGGGCCCTACCTCAGACCCCTCAACCTGAAATCCACCCCCAACTCTGTGGCAAACAAGGGGAACGATCGGAACGGTTGCTTTGACGGATGCTAATTGAAAGGGCATGAAGCCTCACTTGGGTGCATTGGCTCAAAAAAGTCCAAACTGCATATTGTCTTCCCAAAAGTTCCAAGCCCTGGAGCTGAGGAAAGCAAAAGTTAGAAGCAGAAAGCAGCTGACAACGAGCTTGCCGAGGTGCGATTCGAGGTCTAAAATCCGAGGTTCATAGATCACCGCACACACACACAAAACACACTCAACAAACACACACAACAGAAACACAAACGCACACAAACATGCACACAGAAACACACACACACACAAGCACACATACGCAAACACAAAACACGGAAACCCCACAGAAACACAAACACATGCAGAAACAAACAAAGACCCACAAACACCCACAAACACACATGCAAGCAAACACCCAAACACAAACACAAACGCAAACACACACACAAAAAGAAAACACTACAGATATGCAAACTTACCAAAAAAAAACATACAACAATTCATTCTAATTCACAAAACCCAACACACACACACACACAAGCACACAGAAAAACAACACAAATCAAAAACAAATACATACCAATACACATACAACCACACCAACGCACAAGCACACACAGTTGCTTGTGCAACGCGCGGAAACATGCAAACACACTCACGCAAACCACACACTGCACGGACACACGCACGAACACACACACACACATGCAAACCCACATGCAGACACAAACACAAAAAAAACACATACAACCACACGCGCCGAAAAGAAAACAAACACACGCACACACATACACGCAAACAAAACTGACGCAAAACCACACACACACACAAACAAACAAGCAAACAAACAAACATACAAATCAGAAAACAAGCAAGGAAAGAAACAAGCAAGCAAGCAAACAAACAATGAAACAAACAAATAAGCAAGCTAACAAACAACCACGCAAACACGGAAACAAGCACACACAACACACTTAAACACGCAGCCAAGCAAGCAAGCAAGCAAGCAAGCAAACAAACACGCAAACAAACACACAAGCAAACAGGCAAGCAAGCAAGCAATCAAGCAAGCAAACAACCAAACAAACAAACAAACAAGCACGCGAGCAAACAACGAAAGCACAAGCAGGCAAACAAACAAGCGAACACGCAAGCAAGCAAAAACGGAAACTAACAAGCAAGCAAGCAAGCACGCAAGCAAGCAAGCAGGCAAAGGGAAAAACTAAATAAACAAAAACAAACAAACAACAAGCAAACACACAAGCAGAGCAGGTAAGCAAACAAACCAGCAGGGGAAGGCAAGCAAGCAAGCAAGCAAGCAAGCAAGCAAAAAAGCAAAAGCAAACACACACACACACACACACACAAAGCAGAGCTCGTCTGCGAACCGCTGTCCGAGGTCCGGCGTTGGTTTGCCCATTGGTTCCCAAAGGCACGCCTCCCCTATGACCCCTTTTTCATCCTTTTTCGGACCGGAAAAGCAGTCCTCGGGGTGCCAGCCCTTGCCCTGACGATCTACAGAATTGAGAGACAAGAATTGAAGGGCCTGGCCCCTATCACATCTGAGTCATCATCAAAACCCGGTATCAAAATGGTCTACCCAGAACCATGTAAGGAACTAAGAAGGCGGCCGCAACTACTTCTGGCTGGGACTGCCCCTTACTAACCTTCATCTACCTGGGTTTTAGCTCATCTGCTGGTCCCCTGGCCTTTCCCTTTGGAAACCAAGGGTCGCCTGGGCCAGAAGGAGAGATTGACATGGTGAAGGTCTGAAAGAACATCGAGGGCCCGGCTGAAATCTTTGCCCTTCCCGAAGCTCTTTCCTGAGACTCCGAGGCCGAATCAAAGTTGACGCCTGCTCCCTAAGGCTGCGGCCGTTCCCTCCCCAGTCCCTGTCCCAGACCTCTCCTTTCCCTCTGTCACCTCAAGTACCAGAATACCAGAAGAGGTCACAACTTCCTGTCCTCTCGTGTTTTGCCCTACGCCCGCTCCTGAACTAGGGCATGCGTGCAAACCCGAATCTTCGAACTCAGTTGCAAGCCGTCTGTGTTTGCCCATCTGACCTAAGATAGGGTGCAGGGCTTTGAAAGTTCGTGTAGGTCATACCCTGCCTGGATTGGATCTACTGCTTTTTGCCGGATCTTGTATTTGTTGTCCAGCACTTTGATCGCACCCTCACATTGGAACTGACTCAAACAGCTCGGCATGGCCACAGCATAGCATGACACATTCAAGCCATTCGTGCTGTCCTCTGCAGCTCGGAAGTCCTTGAAGTACACAAAGGCACACCTGCCCCACGTGTAGCTGAGAGTGAAGTGCATGCAGATGCTTCCAGATGCTTCAAAATGCTTCAAGGTGCTTCAAACAAGTCCACACCTTAATCCAGATTTAGGATGGACGCCCATTATGTGACAGTGCCTCAGCAGTGCTGACATCGCTGCGCTCCACCGGTACTGAGGACCCTGCACTACCTTCCCATAGGTGCCAAACCTCAGGCTCTCTGCGCCTTCTTTGAGTCCATTGAGTCGCTGGGTTTCCAGGGGTCGTGGCACTATTCTCAGCTCCTCGTCCGTAACATCGGCTGGAAGACCACCGATGAAGAGCTTATGACCTGGGGCTCTGCACCGCTGCTCCCAGGCTCGCAGGCTCTCAGGCTCAGGCCATCTGGGGGCTCGGGTCGCCTGGGGCCTCGGCTTCAGGGCTGCTACAACACTCGCCATTCATCGATTCATCACCCCTTGCGGGGCCAAACGTCACGCAGCTATCCTCGGAATTGGAAAGGTTTAGAATGACGATCATTTTACGTTCTATCATCATGTCCTTTCTAGAACAGCATTTCTTAACAATAAACATCCTGACAACAACATCTAGAAAATATCCAAGCCTTTCCAAAAAGACACTTTTCTAGTTCTCTTTACTTCTTCTTTATATATTTTTTTATTCTGGAAATCATTACAGTTGGAAGTTACATCAGGATCATTGTGTGAACTGGAATTCACTTCTCACCTTAGGTGCCAGCCATCTACCCATTCGCCTGTCCAGAGTGGCATTGGCTCGAGCGACGCAACTGCCGTGGTGCCTTTGCCGTTGCCCTTTGCAACGTCATTCTGGCTGTCCTGCGTGATGAGACATGTCACAAGCGTTTGCTATTGGCATTCTATGCGTGCTGTATCTGACCCCCTTGGCAAGAGATCCCTTTCCGACGTCCTTTGCCCATCTCACCACGATTGGTTGAGCGGCATTGGTGCGAATCCTATACTGATTGTCCAAGACCTGGGTACAACTGACAGTCCAATGGCTTCAGAGCTACTGAGGCAACCGACGGCCAACTGGCCCAGAAAACACCCTCTCGGTTTTGCCCCCCCCTTTCCTCCACTGAAGGCCGGACTGAGCAGGCATAGTCCCCCGCAGACTTGGTCGAGTAGAAGACAAAAGCGCACCTCACAACGACTTCACAACGTGGCTGTTGCTTCACGTGCTCTTGGCGCTTTCCGTGCGTGCAGCTTGCGAGTGATGGCCCTCTGTCCTATTCTCTAGCTCCTAGAAACAGGGCCGCCGAATCGCAACCCCCGGCCTTTGACCGGACTGTGGGTGCGGATTCATGACCTGGCACAGTGGGGTCTCCTGCATTCCCAGGCATCAAACAAGACAGGTCTGCGTGTACGTGGGTCACCTGCGCGGCACTCAGCGCGGCATGTCAGCGTGGCAGAACGACCATGAGTCTCGGGTCACTACATGGCTATCCCATACCAGTGAACATCCCAATCCAACCACTAAACTAGACTATTTTTAAAATGGGTGGTGTACCTACCCCAAAAGGGTACCATTTGTGTTGACCCACGACCACATTGCCTAACCATAGTGTTGAATGGACTCCCCTTGTACGTGCAGTTCTCATGCCAACACCCCCCCGTCCAAGTAAGGCTTGGAACACTCTGACCCTCCCAAGTCCTCACCAAATATAACGCTTGTGGATGGGAACGCCGGCGTAACCCGGGCTGTATGTTGCCTTCTAGCCAACCACTTGCATCCAGAAGGCAACACCGTAGGTGGAGAACACCTCGTACAACTCATCACTGGTACAATCCTGGCATGCGATGACAAATGCTTGCAACGCTTGCCGTGTTCACCAAGCGAACAATTGAACATTTGGCCCCACAGGCTGGCTGAGGCTGAGCACAATGGGTAAACTTCCCACGAACAGCTTGTATCCATCCTCGAGTGGCTTGGGCAGCTCAGCAACTGGCTGTTTCAGCCGATGGTTTCTACGACGGGTTGAATTTTCTTAACAGAGCAGGCGTCCAATGTGTCTTCCGCAAAAGTATGTGCGGCTCCAAACTCGCCCTGCTACGTTGAACTCAGGATGCCTCTCAGACTCTCGAAAAAGAGCCTGCGCTTCAGGTCATGCTTCCCATCGGGCGCTGAGGCTGCGGCCTCTGTGGGCATCCTGTGGTCAAGCAGGATGGAAGCTGGTGCCCGACAGCACGACCAATCGCCCCGCCTTGAGCAACATAAGCTTGCCGTCGGAGCCCATCAAAAAGCTGCGAAACAGGCAATGCCGAACTTCATGCGATGGCACGCTGGACGTGCCATAAGAGCTTGCACATCTTGCACATCTTGCCACCTTTTCTTCGCCCATACCCCGACGTGACAAATCAATTGCTTCAGCTCCAAGCCCGCCCGCGTTGCGATGGATTCCCGGGATGGGGCAAAGGCAAAAGGTTCCCACTGGGGGCGTGGGCTGAGCTCTCTCCTGCATTGGCCTCGTCAAGCGCTGATGTGAAACAACGCTTCGCTCTTGCCGTATGGCACTTAGTTATGGCGAAATCTTCCTTAGCAACCTGGTTTCGTGATCAGATTCCCGGAGCGATGCGACGTCTGCAAGTCGCCCATGCACCAAGTATGTGGGTGGGCTGACCAGTTGGTACTGCGAATAGTATACAATGAGGACTGGCAGTTGGATGCTAGCCGGGCACTCATGGCGGCTCGTGGCACGAGCCGCCGCACAGCAGCACCCATGACACACTGAAGAAGCAGCAACGCTGACACTCAAGACATCGCACTGCAGCACCATCCAACTGAGATCCACTCTGCTCTCCCTCACTCTGGCCTGGAGGAATGCACTCCAACCATGGAACCGTTCGCACTTTTAACAACGCGATGTCACCCTCAGAATAAACAATAAACAATATGTAACAACATGCCTCCTCGTTGGAGCAAAACAAAACACTCCAACAAATGAGGAAGATAATCAAAAACACTATGTAAAAGCGTGCGTCTTCTGTCCAAAACCACCCCCCTAAAAATAAAGGAGATGATGACGAAGAGAATCACAAAAGAGCCACAACTACCATCAACAATCTGAGGAAAAAAAGCAACCAATAGCCACCCCGCGGCCTGGCGCGCTCCAGCTCCAGGCGACACTGCGCCAGCGCCTCCAGCAGCTCCGAGGTGAAGGCGGCGGCCTGGCTTCCCGGTGAAGCGGACCCGGTTGACGTTGGAAGGGGATCAAAACAAAATGGCAGCTGATGAAAACATGCAAAAAACAAGAAGCAAAAAAAAAGGAACCAGTTTTTGGCATTTTTTGTGCAAAACAAATGCGGTTGATGTAATTTTTGGCAACACTGTAAATGTACATGCATTTTGTTGGAAGGGGATGAGAAAAAAATGCAGTGGTTGGATTTCAACCACTAGACCACAATAAGCACAAGACAAATGTAAACAAAACATTTGGCAGTTCAGTGGTTGGATTTTTCCCATCAACAAATCTGCCGCAAAGAGTGAATTCCACCAATGAACAGATGGAACTGTCAAGATGTGGAGTGGGGATCCAACCACTAAACCACAATAAGCAAAAATGTGAAATGACTCCCAACAACCACCATGCAGAGAGTTTCGTCTCCGCGGACTTCAAAAACCCAAGGGGGCACCCGGAAAGACCAGACCAGAACCCGGGAACAACCCGGAAACACAACAAAAACAGACTGAGCAATGGAATAGACCCGGAAAGCCGCAAGCGGCAGTTGGGCGGTTCAAAATGGGTTGCTCAGGAAACAAATGTCAGTTTGAAAACTTGCACGGGTTGATCAAAATGAACTCCGAATCCCAACTCCAAATGCGTAATCCCCAGCAAACGCCTCACAAGGCCAGCCACCTCACCTGAACTTGTTGAATGCACTTTAAGGCTTCACACCAGCATGAGACCAGGCAAAAAGCAACTGACTAGTCTGATAGGTCGCCACCAAATGAACAAACAAACGTGGCAAGGTCCAGGAGCCAATGCGCAATGCGCCCAATAGCAAGCTCGCCGGGCAGCTTCAATTTCACTCACGCTGTTGCACCAACGCATGTGCATGATTTAGCTTCTTTGGCAGCCTTGCATCGACAGCCTGCACCAATCTGTGCTGGATCTGTCTTTGCTCAGTCAACATCTGACGCGGAGGTTCCCTGACCGACGTGCACTACGGTTCCAGGACACAGTTGTGAAGGGCAAGGCCCAAAAGGTGATTGCAAACTCCATTTCTGCACCAGGTTTGGGATGGGCAGGCCAACTTCTGCATTGCCTGGCAGTCGTCCTGGCGCACTGTGTCAGCGAGCTCCTGCGTGGAATGCGAGCCTTCCAACCCCGGCGATTGAGCTGTCCTTGAATGATCCCGGGCTGTTGGTAGCGAGGGTGTCCATTGTTCGGCCTCCGAGGCTCGGGTCAACGAGACGAGCCAGGACGGAGACAGTTGAAATGCCTGGAGAGCTTGGTCTTGTCCACAGCTCCTTCATCAAGGCCTAGAAAACTGCAAGTTGGGTGGCACTTCTTTGAGTGAACTTGCCTCTGCGGCAGCTTGCACTTCTTTGGCATCGGCCAGCTCTTCCTGAGACATTGATGGCATCGGATTTGCGCCTGAGGTCCATTCTCGCGCCTCCAAAGCGAGCAGACGTGCCTCACCTGAAACGTTCCAAGGATCGAGTCTTTCCTCAAGAGCACCGAGCGGGGCCCCCGCTGCTGGCGTCCCGTGCGGCAGCCACAGCAGCACTTGCAATGCCGGCCAGGGAGTTCCCAGCCTCGAAGCCGTCGCTTCGTTCCATCGCGAAATGACGTGCAGACGCATCGAGCGCATCGGGTGCCTGGTGACCGCGCTCGCGAATGGCGCGGGCTGCTTGGACCTTGCGCCTGGGATGTCTGACGGGCGGCTTAGTGCAAAGCCGTCGCACAGCAAAAAAAAAGAAGACAAAAAAGTACTGGGCCGGGCGGCTCCAATTCGCAAATGCGTGCCTGAGCTGACGAGCCCAATGCAAGATGCGCCAAGTGTCACAAGCCTTCAGGCCCTTCTGCAATACAGACCTCAGTGCCACAAAATGCATCGTGCACCGCGTCAACCTTGAAGTCAGGCTGAAGCCCTCGAATAGCCAAAACACGCCAATGGCTTGCAATGTGAGGGGCCCCGGCCCACTTTTCGGAGGTGTCCCCTGCAGGCGCCACCTGCCACACAGCCCCATGCAGGGCAGCAAAAGTCGCCGCAAGCCTCCGAAGCTCGGCCAAGGCTTCTTCCATCTCTGACCGCGCCTTCCAAAACGAAGAGAACTCCACGGAACTGCCGAAGACGGGACACGAGCCTCTTCGTCGCTGGTCAAGCAGGTTGACTGCAAGCTGTAGTGGCTCCAGTCCTCCGACAAATAATAATAATAAACTTTCGCTAGTGCTTTGCAAGAGCACTGAAGATGCGCGCCTGTGACGACGACAGGCCGTTCGCCTGCAAATCAATCGGTCACTGCAAATGACTCCGCTCATGAAGTGCCCGTTTTCGTGAAATCGCTGGCCTTGGCCTTCATGACCATGTCCTGGAGCTGTCGAGCCTGCCAGGCGCAGCAACTCTGAATATCAGTGGCCTTTTGGCAAAGACTTGGACAGATCAGCTATCTCAAAGATACAAGCAGGTGTTGCCCATTCCGCCCATTCCTTGCCAGGAGTGGCCTATGCTTACTTCATTTTGCCAGACTCTGCATGAAGCTGCGCTTCCATCAAGGTCATCTCACCTCGAAGGTCTTCTAACGCTGGCCAAATCTTTTTTCCCATTCGGATTCTGGCTGAACATCGGCTTAGCCCCTAACAATTCAGCCATAAGCTCATTTCCAACAAGCTTCCGTTTTGAGCCCACCCCAAGCTTCCCGTGAAGATTCCTTTGAGGCGCCCGGGCCATGCGAAGATATGGCTGTGGGTCAAAACTAGGTGCCCAGAATGAAGCCCCGGTAAATTGAAAGGACTAAAACCTGCGGTCCAATTCCTGGGTTAATTTTGACCCATACCATCCCATACAAGAATATGTTGGAGCATGTTGGAGCCTTTGGGAAACCCCAGGCACAAGCGCTCGTTTGCCTGCCTCTAGGCTGGCGGCCTCGGCAGTCGCCTTGGCCATGTCCACCTGAAGTTGACTCGACTCCCGATGGGGTTGGCCAACGAACGGGTGGCTTCTCTTGGTTGCTGGACGGACTGCAAAAAGTGAATCACTTTTTGTGGGTATAGTGGAAATCCCCTGGACTTCAACCAAAAAGTTAAAGTCCAAAGATCCAAACCAATAGCAGTCAGGTCTTTCTCTCTCTCTCTCTGCCGTTGCGTCCAGAGGGTCTTGACTCAGCAAGGCAACGAAAAAGGTGCCTACTGATATTCAGGGGCACCCAAAACATGCCATGGCTTATCAACTAGTACTCCTGGAGTTTCGTGCATTCCAACTGCCGAATTTTGTCATGAAATCAAGGCAATTCGGCATGCCGATCGGCAATTTTTAGTTTACCAGCCAAACATTGTCACTCAGAGGAACATAATTGGTGTCCCCCCTTTTTGGTGGTTTTGCATGTGGTTTTGAAGGGAAACCACAAGGGACACCTACCATTTTCGGGGTCCGCCAACCAAAAAACAACAACAAGAAAAAACAGTCTGCTGGGAGTGGTGCGCGCTTGCTGATTCCTGTCTCGCGCTGACGGTAAGTACGAGTGCCGCAAGCACTCATCAAAATAAGCCGGGGTAAGGCCCCACACCTGTCTTACTATTGCTAGCGCTCCCCCCTCCTCCATGAAGAAATGGTTTCCACGCCTCACGCCTTTCAGCCTGCGCCTGCACAAAAATAGGTTGCTCACGGACGGCGCCGCTCCATGCGAGGAAGTCAAGTGTTTGAGCTTCCCCTGAAAAAATGTTACTCGTAGACTCGCAAACGTACTGTGGTACTGATGCTCTTCCGAGTTCCTCTTTCTGCATCACTTCTCCAACAGGAGTGTCTGGTTCGAGATGCTTGGCAGCAGGTCCAACATGCGCTGCGCAGTTTGGGCTGGGCTTTGCCCTTCTCCGTTGTAAGCACTACGAATCAGAAATCGCGTAACTTGTAGGAATCCAGACAGGATAGTTGGTGACTGGCTCGGCTGGCTGAGCGCACATGCTTGAGCTGTGTCCCGGACCTGTGGACCACTGCGTCTTGATTTCTGCAGCAAGTTTTTCTAGATTTGGGTAGTGATTCTACGAGCCGTTGGGCTGAAGGCCACACAAACTATGAAGGCGGAGACTGCGCCTGAAAGCGCCCAAGCGTCCGCAGACAAATCCGAAGCTCAGAATATGATGAAGCCATCGAACAAAAAACAACTTGGTCGTGAATTAGTTGATCAAACAATCTTTGTCGAGCATTGGGCGAGCAAACCTGCGCCACCACACTAGAGTAGTTTGACACGCAGAGCGCGACAAGAACATGAGCCTTGCGAACGAAGCCTGATCGACAGCCCGCAAGTCTGAGGTCAGCAAAGCACATGTTCTAAGATCAAAGACATTCAAAGACATTTTATCCAGTTCTGTGCCAACGATAAACAAGTGAATGCTCCAGGCGATCGGGCAACCCCTCGAACAGGCACATTTCCTAAACGGAGCCCAATTTCGCCGACGGCGAAAGCACACCGCACATTGCAAGCTTGCAAAACGGATGTCTTGCAAAAGGCAAACCGTACTGCTTTGTAGAATGGCCGGTCGAAAGCAACTGAACTAGGTGGCCAAGGCGCAACTGGTGTGATTTCTTGCGCGCAGCCAGTCGCATGTCTTGCTCGCTGCAGTTGCAGGTTGTTTGGGGCCTACATCGTCACTCGCTGGTGCGTTGGGCTTGCCTTTGTGTCAGAATGCTGCTTTCCCATGCGTTAAATGCAGCGGTGGCAGCGGGCTGCATACTTGTTTCCATGTTGACGTCCCAGCGCTTTCGTACGCAGTGTGGCACGAGTGACTCAATATGCGCAAGAGGATGGGCAAGCAGAGGTATCTGGGCAACAAGCGCGGCTCGCAGCAAACTCTCAAAGAAGCGGGCGCGCAAGAAGGAACGCCAGCCGCAACTGTTGCAAGCAAGCAAGCAAACAACTTGTCTGCTTGAAACACGAGCTAATATCGGCGTGAGCACAACATGTCTCTTGGAAGCGTTGTTTGTGCAATTGCAACGCGCCCTTGATAGGTGCATAATAAGTATGCTTGCAGAGCATCTTGAAGAAAGTATGTCCCAGAATGTATAACCCAACTTCCCCTATCACACCTTTGCGCTTTGCACAGGTTCAGCCTGAACATAGACACGCCGGGGCGACTTTCCTTGTCAGCGCCGGTTGGGTGTGGCTTTGAACACGCAGGTGCACTTCCAGAATCGAAACAACAACGAGACAGCACGCTTGCAGAATCAACAAATGCCAGCTAAGACTGAGAAAGATGCTGCGGCTGCAAACATTGCTGCCACACAGGTGTTGTACTCTTAATCTCTGGTTCCTGTTTCTGCCCAGGCCGGCTGCATAATGCTTTTTTTTATGCCCACCTGCGCTAGCTAAGAAGAACGTTGTCTGCGTATTCTATTGATACTCGACACGCTGTTGGATGTCGTGGCAGCGCTTTGTAGCACTGTGCGTGTGTCCTTCATAGTGGCTTGAAGGTGTTCCTGCTGTTGCTTTCTCTCTTGGGCACGCTTCCTGATTGCTTGCTGCCACGCGATGCTGCTGTTCACTCCATGATTTCACGACCTTTCGCAGTGCGCACTTGGGTCGTGCCGGTCAGCAGCAGTCCCTAGGCTGCGTGAACCCGCTCTGGATGTTTCAGCCAGAAGAACTTTTGCAGTTGGGTGAGGCCCAATGGATCAGTACGGATCAGTATCAGGTTCAAACTGACCCCCAACTAAACATAAGCTTCACGGGAACCGCGGAGACCAATAATCTTGAAGCCATATGAGCTGGTTGTCCTGTGTAGGCAAACTCACAGCTTGCATTCTGCGGGCCCTGCCAAAAACAAATTGGAGCCGCGACTGCAAACCGTAAACCCTCTGCAAACAGGTGAAGAAGGGACTTCAAAACTTCCAACATAAGAAATTTGTTCGTAACGGATTCTCCAAACGAGTTTGCGCACCCGGCGCTGAAGACCCAAACGCAAAAAGCCAGCGGCCTCGGCAGCAGCTTGGTGAAGTCGGAGCGTAGCTGACTGACGTTCGGCCTTCCGTCCAGTCGAGCGCCGCTTTTCCGATTTCTCCGGTGCCTTTTTTTGCCCGATGGCCCTTAGTCTCTGGACTCTGGCTGACTCAAGCACACTTTTGCGCGCATTGGGTGCAAAGGTCGCAATTGCGACTGTCAATGCCTCGCAAAGGACAAGGCCTGTCAAGGCCAAGGACTGCAAAACTCAGCAGGCATACTTCTGCACCCACTCACGGGCCGTTTGGTCGTGCTTGGCCCTGTCCTTGAGGTACAAC